CTTACATTATTAAGTGTCGTCCGATCAGGTGATGATCCGGAATCTCAAAGACCCCGAGCATATGCCTCACTAAGAAGTGTGGGTCGAGTCAGTGCTGACGAGAACAGGCATACCATTGAAATCCTGGCCAAACATGTGTCCAATGAGTTAAGAGTTACTGTCAATGATTTTCGCGTGGATTTTGTGGACACGAGTCCAGATATGGGCTCTATTAAGGGAACTCTGTATCGCGATTTAGCCGTTTATAATTAGTTAGATCACCTACCAAACTTTTTAGTCTAATTTTTACTTACTGTATTACTGTTATAATTTAACTAATATTTTATTTGCAACAGTATATGTTATAAATTAATTCAAACTAGAAAAATTAATTATATAACAATACATATTTTCAATGTTAATCATGTCATTAATAGACAATGTATTAATATAAAACTATTTTAAAACTATTTTACAGAATGGTAGTATTGTACTATTATTAAACTATTTAATGATTGCATTGTATAATTGTGAGATAGGGATTGGTGAACAAATATGATAATTATTTATTTAATAGCGTGCTCATTATAGTGTAAAAATTCATTCATACGCCAGCTGTATGCTGAATAAACAATATACAAAGTACAGCAATTTTATTTTTACATTTTATTANTGAGATAGGGATTGGTGAACAAATATGATAATTATTTATTTAATAGCGTGCTCATTATAGTGTAAAAATTCATTCATACGCCAGCTGTATGCTGAATAAACAATATACAAAGTACAGCAATTTTATTTTTACATTTTATTAAAATATATTTTATGTCAAGTGCACTAAAAATGAGTTTATTTTATAGTTATTTATATTTTTGTGTTGCATTCATAAGTATAATTATTACTATAACTAGTGGTCAACAGTACAATCAATACGATAACCACAGATACAATGACAGATATAATACCTATAATAACAGAGACAGGTATGATAGATATGGTCAGCGCGATAACACCTACGATTAATTATTACTATAACTAGTGGTCAACAGTACAATCAATACGATAACCACAGATACAATGACAGATATAATACCTATAATAACAGAGACAGGTATGATAGATATGGTCAGCGCGATAACACCTACGACAATAATAATAATAATAAATGTAAGTTTTTAAAACATTACCATGTTAATTTTTCAAGACATAATTTTAAAATGTACAGACAGGTATGGAGACTCGGGGTATTATCAACACAATGGTGTATGTTTAGAGAGGGTGGCCTACTATACTAGAAGTTGTGAGGACACATTCACCGAAAGGCAAAGGGATGCCCGTAATAGTAGGTATAGCAGTGAAGTACAAGAGGGTCTGTGTTGGTAAGGGTTTTAAATTATTAATGTTTATTTTTAAATTAACTTGTTATTTCTATGTATTATATGAATAGTGCATTGCATTACTATCGCGATTGTCTGAGACGGGTAGTGGAGGACAGGTGTAGGGACACTAACCCATTAATAATTGATACGCTGATGGGGTCCCGAAAACGGGATTTAGACTATTGTCCCGCTTATACCCGGGACGAGTGCTCCCATTCATATCAAATGAAACCTATTTTTCTCGCAATTTTGTTCAATGTTTTAATAGCTATTAAATTATGTTAATTCATTTAAGGTTTGTTACATTAATATTTTCGTAACATTAATCATATTACTTGTTAAAATAATTGCAACTAGAAACCTAGATACTATTATATATAATACTAGAATTAAATATTTTATTTCAGTCACTTATATGATATAAGTTATATGTACTGTAGTTGATTTAATTTATAGTAAATGAATCGTTAAAATTGCAACACAAAAATACCGTATTGGCAAAAGTCTCAATACTTTCCGCATGAATTCATCTAGACATGTGTTTAGCATTAATTAATATCACTATTATAACTATACCGTATGTTATACTGTATGTATATATTCATTGTTCATACAGTACTGTATCAAAAGCACATTATAAAAATGGTTTACTCTATGTACAGGTGCATTAATATTTATTCATTTTTTGATCATTTTAAATAAAATTTGGATTCTGTTTTATGCCACTTTAATCCAGTATACTGTATATAAAATTAATAAAAGTGCAACTATTTACTAAAAATTGTATTATGTATTTTTATTATAATTATTTGTATTTATGTTTAATGTTATTGAGTATAACGCCCGACATTATCAGTGGTCAGCAGTATAATCAATACGATAACCACAGGTATAATGACAGAGACAGGTATGACAGGTATGGACAGCGCGATTATTCCGGTGATAATTGTATGCTTTTCATACATTTTCAAACATATATAATACAAATATTATTTTTAAAAGACCAAAACAGGGATTCTCAATATAACAACCGGTATTATGATCGGGACAGGTATGGAAATGGCCATAATGATATTCGTATTAACCGTACGTTTCCAACATTATATATTTTCCTTGATTAATTTAATTACCTTAACAGTAATGTACATTATATTCATAATGATTAACAGACGGATATAGAGACTCCGGGAACAATTTGCACGACGACCCCTGTATACAAAAGGCCTTGTATTACGTCAAGAATTGTGAGAATACACTCGTCGATGACCAGAGGGATGCCCGCACAGGTAGCCACCATAATGATGTTCATTTGGGTTTATGTTGGTGAGTTTGAAAATGAGATTATTTTAAAATTACTATATTATCATGCTATTTTTAGTGCATTGTATTCATATTACGATTGCGTAAATCTGGTGGCGAGGGACGAGTGCACAAACCCATCGTCGGTAACAGTGGACATACTTATGGGGTCCCGGAAACGGGATTTAAATCAGGAATGTAGGGAATATTCCCGGAGTCTGTGTTCCCACTCTTATCGCCTTAAATCCACATTCATTTCACTTTTATTTTGTATTTTAATTATGATTACAAATGTTTATTGCATTGATTTTAATTATTTATAATAAAATAAATGTATAATAACTTAGTTTTTTAGTGCATTAATTATTGTTAAATAATAATAATAATATAAAAATACAAAATTATATTAGAGATGTTAATTGAAATAATGTATTTTCAAAATATTAGGTTTAACAGAGAAATATTGGCAAAAGTCTAAATAGTTTTCACATGAGTTGTCAAAATTTTATAGATATAAATCAGCATTCAAATTTAGCATTATTATGCAAACAATAGATTGTCATTTTATGTTTGTCCTTTACATAAACCTTTCTAAAAGTATGTAATTTTTATTAATTATAATACCAACACTATACATAATAAAATACAATCAGAAACAAATTGTAAGTGTTTTGAAACAAATTTAATTTAACTTAGATTAACGTATACACTATTTATTCAAAATGCAATTCTGCTTATTAATTTAATATTTATTCAGTTTGCTAATTTTAAATTTTTTATTGATCTAACTTTATTTAATCATTTGTTAAACTCATAAATTTAATAAAAGTGCAACAAATATTATGGATTTTAAAAATAAATATTCATGTTTCTGGATAATTTTGTTGAGTTCAACTATCACAATAACCAGTGGTCAGCAGTACAAACAATACAATAGTAACAGATATAATGACAGATATGGTGGCCGAGATTATTCAGGTAATAAAATATTTTTATAAATTATATAAACTAAAAAAAATTTATTTATAAAACCGTTATAATTATTAAAAGACCAAAACAAAGATTCTCGATATAACGACAAGAATAATGATCGGGACAGGTATGGCAGCTATGGGCAGCATGATTTTTCTAATTATAATAACTGTATGTTTCAAAATGTAAAATAATTTATGCGCAGGTTTAATACTTTAATGAAAATTCTTACTGAAGTTTTTGTTTTATAAACAGTAAGATACAAAGATCCTGGATACAATGGACGTATTATAATAACTGTATGTTTCAAAATGTAAAATAATTTATGCGCAGGTTTAATACTTTAATGAAAATTCTTACTGAAGTTTTTGTTTTATAAACAGTAAGATACAAAGATCCTGGATACAATGGACGAGATAATCCTTGTATACAGCGAGCCGTGTATAACATCAAACACTGTGAGAATACCCTCATCGATGCCCAGAGGGATGCCCGGAAAGGTAGCCCCAGTACTGATGTTCATTTGGGTTCATGTTGGTGAGTTTGAAAATAAGGTTATTATATTTTAAATAATGCTAATGTTTTGATGTTAATATTATAAAATAGTGCATTATATTCGTATCACGATTGTGTGAGCCTGGTGGTAATGGACGAGTGCAATGAATATTCATCGACAACAGTAGATATACTTATGGGGTCCCGGAAACGGGATATAAACCTCGAGTGCGGGGATTATCCCCGCAATTTATGTTCCCACTCATTTCGCATTAAAACAACGTATATCACACTATTATTTTGTATTTTGAATATGATCAAGTATATTTCTTGTCACTATTCTTAATAAATTAAATTGATAATAATTCTGGCATACTAATAAATTATAAGTAATAATTATTATTATTACGCTATATTGTATATTTTATAGACCCAATACATATTCATTTATATTATTAGTAAATTTAATAATATTACATAAATAGTGTTATCTAATTAAGTGTTAGAAATAGTGTTAAAAATAAAAACCGTTAGTATGGACATAAAAGGCGTAGTGTATATAAATTAAGTAAAAATAAGTAAAATTTATAAAAATAATCTGTTATGTTATATGAGTATCGGAACTTATACTAAAAATATTTCGTTTTTATTATTTCTTTATTAAATAATTGCTTTGATTTGTTTAACACAACAAAAAATCTCTATCAACAAGATTTTAAAACTTATTGTTACATAAGTAAAATATTATTTTATTTTTGATTTTTATAAAGCAAAAATATATTTCTTTATTAAATAATTGCTTTGATTTGTTTAACACAACAAAAAATCTCTATCAACAAGATTTTAAAACTTATTGTTACATAAGTAAAATATTATTTTATTTTAAACAATGATTATTAAACAAGTTAATTAAAAATGGGTCAGCTTACTAAATACTTACTAATATTTTTATTGAATTTGGCATTTTCTGTAATCATTGCCCAACAGTACAGTCAATACGATATTAAAAGTGATAATAACAGGTATTACGATAATGTGAGGTATGATTGGCGCCCATACCCCGGGTACAATAACTGTATGTTTGGTAATGAAATAATAATATGGTTTAATTGTAATTGTGTTTTATGATTACTATTAGATAGATACAGAGATCAGAGATACTATGATAGGTATGGGGGACAGGACTACTACAACGATATTAATAGTATGCCTACTTTGTTGAAATATAATTTTAAAATTATAAATATTCGCTATTTATTTTACAGATAGATACCGGTACAAATATGATGAGAGGGA